TTTAAAACGAAATTATATATTTTTCATTATATAATATATATTACATAACAAAAATGTATAATTTTGTTTTAAAGAATTACGACCATAAAAAGTTTTATAATTGCTAGGTAACTATATATAGTTACCTAGCAATTATAAATCAAATCATAAATACATATGTAGATACAGTAAGATGTATAAACAATACATAATTGTTGTAATATATTATGGTCATTTTTTATATCATGTATACATAATTTATACATAATTTCGATACCTTGCAGTTTAGGATGACATTCTTCTTTTCATGTATATCTATTACTTTTATATTACATAGTGCATATGTTATAATATATAAAGTATCCTTATATTTCTTATATTTTTCCATTTCTTATATTTTTATTTCTTATAATTTGAACTGAATTTTTGTTTCAATTAATTGTAATTTTGTAATACAATTAATTTAATTTTGTATTATATTGTTATGTTATATATTGTATATTGTTGTATTATGTTGTATATTGTTACTTATTACTTTTATATTATATAGTGTATATGTAATAACATATAAAATCCTCATGGTCATTTTTTTATACTTTTATTTCTTATAATTTGAACTTTAGTTCAAATTATATGTTATTTTATATGTTATTATAGAATTTATTCTGTTTCAATAAATTATAAGTTTTGTAATACAGTTAATTCAATTTTGTAATTAATTTAATTCTGAATTATAGTTTAAGATTGACAAGTACAACAATCATACAAATACGAATTACTATTTTATATAATTTTAATCGAGTCTCTGAATATATCTGTTATCTAAGTTGACAGAGAATTAAAATGTTATTTTAAGAGAAAATTTAGTTCTTAAAAGATTAAATTTAAGTTTACGATTTTTTATTAATATTTTTTCTTCATGTTTAAGTATCTTCAATCGTTAATTAATAATTTCTCAAATTATTTTATTATCTATTTTTATTAAGCTTTGTAACTACACTATTAGATTCTCCGAGATTTCGAATGATAAAAAAATTGATCAATTTTATCGTTAATTGAAACTATTGAAACTACTGAATTGAAACTATTGAGCATCAAATATAAAGTTACCATATTAATTTACGTAAGTTTCTATTTTTAAAACGTGCTTATAATGATAATAGCGCGTTGTTTATGTCATCCTATTTTTTATTTTATGTATAATGAATGATAATGTTAAAATGAGACGAAATAACGCGCTAACATCGTTATATATGCAAAAATGTACATTGTTAATTTAAAAGAGAGAGAAGGTAAGATTAAAGTATTATTATTTTTTTAAGTTAATTTATTTTTTAATTTATTTTTATTTTTAATTATTTTTTAATTTATTTATTTTTTAATTTATTTTTTTTAATTAAATTAATTTATACACGTAATAATTATAGGATATTGCTAAGATCGAGATTAAATTTTGATACCTACTATTAGATACTTGAACATTATGATAGATAAGTTCTCTAAAAAGAAATCAATAATGGACTTTACTTCCTTAAAGAATTTAGAGGCAAAATTTTAATAAGTTAATTCTTGGAACAAAGAATGTCCAAAATGACACATTTAATGAACAAAATAAATCAGTGAGTATTGAGTAATTTTTCATTATGATTGATATCTATACTTAGATTCATAGAAAAAATGTAGGCAAGAACCAATCATAAAAAAATCACCAATCTGCTTTGTTTGAATGTATGTACCCATTGAATGCTCAAACATTGTGTCTGTAATTTATGTTTGTATTTGTTTTCTTTAAGTATATGAGACTCAAAAATAAATAAATAAAGTATAAAAATTATCATTTTACAAACTAAATATTAAATGTAAAAAGTAAAAAGAATTAAAAATTATTATAAAATATATTTTTTAATCTGATTAATTTGAATATTAAACTTTTTTTACTGCTATATTTTTATTATTTCATTATTTTGAAAATGATATTAATATTTATTTTGTGATATTTTGTGATCTATATATTTAATTTAAGTATAATTCACAATCTTAAAGAAAAAAACTATTAATAAGTCAAAGTAAATTGTTTCCTGAATACGGTCAAATAGATTGTTTCTAATTCCACATGATTGGTTAAATCTAAAAGTAGAAAACCTGCTCGTTAAACAAGCTGACTTGAATATGTTCAGATTATAAACATATTCATATGTTAATATTCTGTTTGATCTCTAAATAAGTAAACGTCAATATAAAAATATTATAAGCGTAATTATATTGAATAAATATATAATTATAGAAAATAATATATACAGCTTTTAAAGAATACAAGGTATATGTATATACATGAAATAAATACCTTTATTTCGCAACATATTTTTATTCATAGAATATTAATACACTCTAAGATAGTCTAAAATTGATCAAATAATTTTATTCTGGATAAAAAAATTTAAAAGAAGAAACTAATTATATAAGATTAGATTACTGTTCAACTAGGTAAGTTTTCTATTATAATGAATTTTATTACACATGATAAGCTTGCTAATAAATACATAATTACCATATTGTTGTAATAAAATATTTATCAAAATATTTTAACATAAGATAATCGAAATTCATAAAAATTAATAATGTTTTGATATCGAGAATTGGTATAAATCAATTGGTATAACAAACATGTCATTTTGTCTTTTCAAGGAAAGTAGAAAAGTTTATAGTGAAAGTTAATAAATTTTATCATTGTTATAGGCATAGAAATGAATTAAATATGAATCCTTTTATTTATTATTTATAATATTAATATAATATTAATATAATATTAATAAAAGCTATTGTTAAAGCATTGAGCGCTTTTTTTATAAAATGTAAAAGAAGACAATTCTACTTTTTTCAAAAGAAGACAATTTCCTGTGAAATTAGCAT